AGGTATGGGGCTGGCCACAGCCCAGGAGCCCAGCTGAGCTGAAAGGGCCTGGTGGGCACAGGCTCCAGTCCAGGAAGGAACAGCAGGAACTCAGTAATACCAAGAGCTCAGCTTTACATCACTCTCCCTCCCTTGTCAGAACTTAGTTCCTATGCCTAGCTTTGCAGACCCTTAATGATTGCTGAACTAATTAAGCTTATCAAGTAATGAGCTTGATCTTATCCCCCTTCAGAGTTTAGATCGTGTGACCTCTGATAAGTCATTTCACCTAAACCTCAATTTCTTCGTCTGTAAAATGGGCCTAAGAGAATATGTATTTCCTACTTCACCAAGTTGTAGTGAAGAGAACTATAGAAATGAGAGAGATTATCTTTACTACCTAAGAAGTCACTACCTCATGGTGTATCCTTAGGCAGATTCACTTCCCCATTGTGGCCCTCCATTTCCTCCTCTGAAATGAGTGGATTGGCCTAAGCCTCCCTAAGGTCCCTTCCATCCCAATCCATGCACCTAGATTTCTCCTTTTAGCTCTGACGTTTTATGTTCCTACGTCCATTCCTAGGCTAGAATTCCAGGACCTGGCAATCTCCTAAGACCAGAAACATCACACCTTCCACACTGTACATACCATCCACTCCAGCCAAAGTAAATGACTCCTGTTCCCTAAGTCAGGGCAACCTTTAGGCCCTTGCACATGGACTGGAGGCTCAATGTGTCCCTCACATAGTAAGCACTTAAAAATTTTCCTTCCTTCCTTCCTCCTTCCCTTCCTCTTTCCTTCCTTCTCTCAGTGGATAGAGCACCAGAGCTGGAGTTAGGAAGACCCGAGTTCAAATCCAACATCAAACACTTAACTGTATAACCCTGGTCAAGTCATTTAACCTCTGTTTGCCTCAAGTTTCCTTATCTGTGAGATGGGGATGATAATAATAGCACTTACCTCCCAGGGTTGAACTAAGGATAAAAGGAGATAATAATTATAAAGTACTTGGTACCTCGTAAGCACTATATAAATGTTAGTATCCATATTATTATTATCATGCCCTCTCCATGCAGAGGTGGGGAGGATAAAGAGGGGATACCAGTGACGCAACCTCCTACCTCATGACATCTAAGGCCTTTCTTTCCTTAGCCATAATCTCACTGTCTGGGAAGAAAGGAGGCAAGCCTCCTCCTGTGCCAGCCTCATGGCCTTCCTGAACTCGTAGGATGTTCAGAATTGGAAGGGATCTAGCCCAGCCCCTTCATCTTGTAGAAAGAGTCTCAGAAGTGACCTGCCCAAGGTCACCGGGTCAGCCAGTCCCCGGCCACGGCTCCAATTCCAAACAACAAGTATTAACTGAACAGCCCCTGGTCAGCCCTGACCAGATCCTTCCCAAGCCCAGAGGGAGTGACAAGGAGCTCAAACTCCCCCGGTCACACAAATAGTCACCCAGATAAAAGAATAAAGTAAAATACACAAGAGTGGGTTGTTTTTGTTTTTAAAAAGAACCAGCCTCAGTGTCAAAATTCATTCAACAACGTGTACATTGTTTGTGGGATGCTGACATCCCGACGGTTCTCAGAGTCTAACCAGGGTGCCCGACTCTGTCTAGTGTTGTCGCACTGGGCCCCGTCAGCAGGGAAGAACCTTCCCGACCCACTGCCCCCGTCCTGTGCTGGCTGCTCCCTCACCTCAGTCATTCCTGTTCTGTGACCTCGGACGGAATCGCTTCCTCTCTGTGGCCTCCCCATCCCCCTCAAAATATATATATGTCTCCTCTGACAGAATGGAAATTCCTTCTGGACAGGAATTCATTCTCTCTCTGTCTCGTTTTTGTTTTATAAAAATGTTTATTGATGCGTTGGACTACCCAGTCTCTTCCCATTTTATAAGGATGTTGGACTAGATGATTTCCAGTGTCCCTTCCAGCTCTGACATTCCATGTTTAAGTCTCTGGAATCTGAAAGTTACAGTGAAGACCAACTGAGAGTAGCAGAAACGAAAGTCCTTCACGGCTCGGATGTGACCAGAGCCAGCTTGTACCCTGCCCCTTGTTAAATTTTCCATACGGAACATTTACACGTTGGAAATTGGCATCCTACATAACTGGATACACTACAAACCAGGGCTTGATTTGTTTTTTTGTTGTTGTTGTTGATTGCCTAGACTTAAAGCGATGGAGAAAATGTTATTAATGCAAATTCAACTTAAAATTGTCTCCTGCAGCACTTTTTTTTTTAAATGAGTTGTGAAACATTTACTAGCACACAGCTGTCCCTAGCCAAAGGGGAGGGGCCTCCCAAGACTCGGGCTCTTGCTCCGAGGCCTCAGCAAACTCAAATGAGGAGTTGTGTGCTGCTCCACAGAACAAACCATTCTAGCAGATCAAAGTATCAGTGAATGAATGGCTGCATCCTCTCAGGCAGGCTGCTAATCCAGGGTGCAGAGGGGATCCCCCACCCCTAACCAACTGATAAACAAATGCCGAACTCCATACCAAGGAACCACTAAAAAGGACCAACTGATTGGGAAGTTCATTGCCCCCTACCGTTCCCATCATACTCCATCAGTTCACTTCCCCTTTAGTGCACCTGTTCTCCTTCCCACCCCCTACCCATCAAGGACTGACTGCAAAAACTCTCAGTTGGGACTCAGGCAACCCAGACCGGGCAGAGCCATCAGCACAGAGCACATTTCAAAGAATGCTGGAGAGAAACAGAGAATGTCAGAGCAGAAAGAGGAGTGAGGGGTGGGGGAGAAGCATGTCTTCCAACTCTCTCATGTTACAGAAACCATGGAAAATTGACTTGGTCAAGATCATATATTGGACTCCTATCTAGGCACTTTGACCATCACCCCTCTCCCCAAGTCCTGTATTCTGGGTACCTTGTGGATGGCTGGGGTCCAGAGGCCAATGATCCTCCAAGGTTCTATCAGCAGCCAGCAGGCCACAGTCCTGAGGGGCACAGTGTCACAGAGTGAGACAGCTGGGTCCTTGGATATCACCTAGTAGTCATTCAGCACTTAGCACAGTGGCTGGCACATAGTAGGCCCTTAAGAAATGTTAATCAACAGGTGGATGGATGTAGTCCAGGGATGGGGAAACCTTCAGCCCCAAGGCCACATGTGGCCCTCTAGGTCCTCAAGTGTGGACCTATGACTGAATCCAAACTTCAAGATTCAGTCAAAAGGCCACACTTGAGGACCTAGAGGGCTACATGTGGCCTCGAGGCAGCAGGTTCCCCATCTCTGGTCTAGTCCAAGCCATACCTAAGCAGGTAACCCACTTACAATGAAGTGTCATCCAGCTTCTACTTCAACTCCCCAAAAGATGGGGAACTCCCCTCTTCCTGAGCTCATCCCACTTCTGGCCAGCTCTAACTTTTAGGAAATCCTTCCTTCTCTCTAAATGAAACCTGCTTTTCTGCAGCTCTCACCCACTGTTCCTAGTTCTGGCCTCTGGGGTCAGGAAGAACAAGTCTGACACTGAACATGTACGAATGAAGTCTTCTCTTTACTGGGTTCAACAGCCCCAGTTCCTTCAACCAACCCTTATAGGGCAGGTCTCAGAAGAGGGTGAGGGCACGCCAGCAGCAGGCTGAATGGAAGCGGCATGACCCCTGCTCATAAGCAGCTGGCCAAGGCAGGTCTCTTCCCTATCTCTTGAGTCCCAGAGGACAAGAGGCAGTGGGTAACAAGGCCAAGTCAGGGTCACAGTCACAATGGCAGCAGGACCTCAATGACTGGGACTGGGAACAGAGCAAGAACAGCTCTATCTTAGAGCAAAAATAAAAACTGGACCAGAAAGTAGAAGGCCTGATTTCAAACTCTGACTCTACCTCCCACAAGCTAGATGACCTTAGGAAAGCAATTTGGGGAAACAGAAAGTCAAGAGGACCTACATCCAACTCCCACCTACCTGTGTGACCTTGGGCAAATCACTTAATCTCCTCCAGCCTCAGTTTCCTCAGCTGTCAATGAAGGGTATTAGACCAGACGACCTCAGAATTCCATTCCAGTTCTATATCTAGGATTTAATGGTTTCTTCCCAAACCTCAGTTTTTCCTTCTGTACAACAAGGACAATAATACTGGGTCTTTACTAGCTAATCTTTATCTTGCAAGGTCTCAGTGGAAAAAGTACTTTGGGAACTACGAGGTACCATAAAAATGGGGCCTATTTTTCATTTTCTCTTCAGAGTGAGACTGAAAGTTGAGGTAACCAGCTGTTTATTTTATATTCCAATGGGGGGGGGGTGGGGTGGTCCTAAGAGTCCTGAGTCTGGCTGCCAATGATAATTTTAAGTCTGTTTAGGCTAAAAGAAGTTTGGTTTTCAAGACTGTCTAACAAAAACAACTCTTATTTCAATAGTAATTTAAGGTCTACAGAGTACTTCTTCACAATACTCTTGAGGGGGGGAGGGTGTTCCTGCACTGCTAGGATTATCACTCCCATTTTGAAGTAAGGTTCACAGCTAGGAACTCAAAGATCTGGACTCCAAGAACAAGGGTCTATCCAATACCCACTGCTGCCTTTGGTCACTCATTCTTTCAAGGCACACTCTCTGAGGTGTGCACTCTGCACAGGACCATAGGAGGACAGGGGGAAAAAGACCTAGTCCTGCCATCACAAAACTCAGTCTAGGCACGAGAGCTTGGAGGGGACTTATCCAAGAATATGCATTCTTTAGTCAATTAAGGCATTACCCTCTTATGATGTAAATGAGGAAACTGAGGCCCAGGGATAGCTATACAGAGGAGGATATTAAGGCTGAAGAAGTGAAATGACTTGCCTGAGTTCACACCCAGAATAACTAGGATTTGAAATTAGGTCTGAGTCCAAACCCAATGCCCTTTCCACTCTACCACACTCTTTTCTTGTGATGTATAGGAGAAAGAATCCTGGCTTGGGAGTCAGGAGACCTGAGTTCAAATCCTACCCCAGACTCTTGCTACAAATCATTTAATTGAGAACCTCAAATTTCCTCTTCTGTAAAATGAAGATAAACACTACTTACACAATCTCTAAGAGCTGTTCTGAGGATAGTGCTCTGCTGGATGGGTACAGGTTACTGTTGTCATAACTTCCCACCAATAAGGCTGAAAGCTCGGGGTCAGAGTCTAGACCCCCTGAAGCACCTGGAGTGATCCTCAGCCCAGAATCTTCTCTCTGCCTCTAGCTTGTTACATGACTGTGGAGGCAAGTGATTCAGTCTGTTTCTTACCAAGCTCTAAAATGGGGGCAAAAGTTAGAGGAAAGGGGGACCAAATCCAACCCCCTCATTTTGTAGATGAGGAAACCAGAGGCTTCAAATAAGGGAAATTACCTGTCCAAGGTCACAGGGCAAGTCGGTGACTTGAACCCACACCTTCTAGGTGAATGTCTTTCTCATAATATCTATCTCTAACATCTATCTCTCACTCAGAACCAGAGGCTTTAAGGCCAAGAACCCCGACACAGCCCCATCAGACCCTCTGCCTCCATTCTTACCCTTCTGTTCCCTCCCCTCCCACCACCTCTGCCCCTTTCCAACCTCCAGCTCAGGCCTCTTCCCATGTCTCCACCCTGCCTGGTTTCACAAACACAGGACTTTTTTTTTTTTTTTTAATAGAGGACCTCCTCTTCCATAAGAGGCTCAGACTGGATTTCCTCTGGGGGTGAAGAGGCTATGTAATGGGTGGGGGGGCGGAGAGACAGGGCCCCCTTTCCCTTTAAGGCCCGATAGAACCTTCTTGTTGGCTGGAGCCAGGCCTGGGTTCATCCTGACTGGGTCATTCACTCTGATAAGAACTGAAAAGTGCCAAGAGGGAGAAGAAAAACACCTCTTTCCCTCCCCTCTCCTCTCCCCCAGTCAGGTCACATGAACATCTCACCAACCCTCGTTCAGACAGCTCCAGCTCAGCCCTCAGAGGCAATTCTCCAGCATTACTTCCAAGCAGGGGTGTATTTCAGAGAACCTGGATGGACATCAAATTTCTATTGATCAGACTCTGCTCCACCTCTTCCAGGAAGTCTTCCCAGACCACCCCAGGCCAGAGCCTGGGAGAGAGGAGAGATCTCTCCCTCCTCTAACTAGCCATAGCCTTTAGATTCTGACCCACTATCTAACACTTAGCATGGTACCAGTTAGAATTCTGAAACACCAGGACCGGAAAGGACCTTGGAATACAGAATGTCAGAGAAGAAGGCACTCAGAACCAAGCCTCCCGATTTCTACCTACCTCATACTATTCCCCACTGCCCCCCACCCCAACCAAATACCCCCCCCAACCACTCAAAACAGACTTTTCAATGTCTGCTGAACTCTAGACTCTGCTCCTTTGATCACAAGGCTCCTCAAGCCAGGAATGCCTCTCTTATTCATCTTTGCCAGTGACAGCCAGCCAGCTCATCCTTAAAGGCTTAGCTCAAGTGCCACCACCGCCTGCCTCCTCCTCCCCCAATAAAGACTTTCCTGATTTCTCCCACCACCACCTCCTAATCCCCCAAAGCTAAAAGTGACCTCATAGGATCACAGATTTCCAACAGAAGGTACTTTTGGAGGCCAGAGAGTTCAACCTCCCCCTCCACTTTTAGATATGAGAAATGAAGACCTAGAACTTACACAGGAAGGATCTGAGGTGGGACAGCACTTTCCTTCTTTGATCTTTTATTCCCTCTCAGACACTTTTCATTCAATGTACTCTCTACAATGCTTCCTTTCCTGATTTTTCCCCCAAGCTGGGAATTTCCTCTCTCACATCTGACCTTCTCTACATTCTAACATATATTACATTTGTGTATATGTCTTATGTCCACCCACCCCCTACTAGACTGTGAACTCCTTGAGGGCACGTACCATTTTCTTATTTTAACATCTCTTCTAGATCCCCTGTAAACAATGGGATTTTCCAGAAGCTCCTTTATTCATTCATTCACTCAATACACATTTCTCTCATTCTCTGGGGCTAGGCTCTTTCTGGACACCTGAGACAGAAACCACAGTACCTGCCCTCAAGGAGAGCCCTTACTTTTTTTTTTTGTGGTGAGACAATTGGGGTTAAGTGACTTGCCCAGGGTCACACAGCTAGTGTCAAGTGATTGGTCTGAGGCTGGATTTGAACTCAGGTCCTCCTGACTTCAGGGCCGGTGCTCTATTCACTGCACCACCTAGCTGCCCCACCAGCAGCACCTTTTGCACAGGCACCATAGATAAACAATAATCTGGGTCCAGAATGAAAAATGGACAGGTACAGCGGGATTAAATTGTGCTTTTAAAGGTCCCCTCCCTCCCCTAAGCTGTTTTCTGCCACTGAAATGCCTTGACATCAATATACCTCACACCTCATGTTGTATGATTGTGACTTATCAAACACCATAATCAAAGAAGAGTCAAAACTGCTGGCGTCCCAAAGGGTAACAGAAAGACTCATGGTGCATATGCCAATAGGATGCAATAATACATTATGCAAGATGTGGCATAAAAGTCGTCAAGGACACCAGGAACAACAAATGTTGGGGGCTAGTCATGCAATAAGGGTGAGGAATAACACATGACCAGTCCACAGGGTGCTGCACCATTATTCCCCAAATACCGAAAGACTGGGGTAGCTGGGTGACAAAGTGGATAGAGTGAGGGGCCTGGAGCCAGGAAGATGTCTTCCTGAGTTCAAATCTAGCCTCAGACACCTGTTAGCTGTGTGACCCTGGGCAAGTAACTTAACCCTGTTTGCCTCAGTTTCCTCATCTGTAAAAGTGAGCTAGAGAAGGAAATGGAAACCCATTCCAATATCTTTGCCAAGAGAACCTCAAATGGGGTCATGAAGAGTTGGACATGACTGAAAAACGACTCAATAACAACAACAAACAAAAGGCCAGGAGGAAGGCCTCCAGGGTGCAGAAGATCCTCTGGGCAGGGTTTATGGAAGGACAGGGCCAAAAATCAAACAGCACGAGAAGTCATCAAGGGGGCCTGAGCTGCCCCTGTGGAGGGAATACCCACACCCATGAGAACTTCTGTCTCCCCCGGGGTCTCCCAAGCACTCTCCATTGCCCAGGCTGGTTACCCATATACAGTCACTTCCTGAAGGAGCTGTGACCCTGCAGGGCCCTGAATGTGCTGGATGATGCACTGCTGGGCCCCAGGGAGGGCAGAGGCCGCACCGTGCCTGAGCGAGCCCTTTGGAGGACAGCAGGATGCTTTTGTGCTGTAAACTCCTGGAGTCCGACACCGGCAGTTGACTAAGTCTGGAACCCCTCCCATCCCACCCTCCTGCCAGCCAGCAGACTGCCTTCATCCGGCTCCAAATCACAGGGCTCTCCATTTAGCACAGCTGCTAATTAGCAAGGAGAAAGGAGCCTCAGGCAAAAGCAGCCAGCTCATTTTGATGAGCAGACATCCCTTCCCCAGACATTGGGTGGTCAAGCAGGGAAAACAGTCCCATCCTCCTAACATGATCCGCACTGCCTCACTCTGCTCAAGAACCTGCTATAGTTCCCTGTGGTCTGCTGCACACAAGTATCAGAAGTCGTAGAATGTCAGAGCTAAGAGGGACCTTAGAACACAGAATGTCAGAGCTGGGAGTGGCCTTAGAATACAGAATGTCAGAGCTGGGAGGGGCCTTAGAACACAGAATGTCAGTGCCAGGAGGGACCTTAGAGCACAGAATGTCAGAGCTGGGAGGGACCTTAGAACACATAACATTAGAAACAGAGAAGCCCAGAGAAAAACATGAAATGTTCAGAAAGAATATCAGAGATGGAAGGAACCTTTGAAAACCTTCTTGCTTAAATGCCTTAGGAGCCATAATTTGGGGTTTCCCTACCAACAACACATAAATCAACCTCTCCCCTTCTTAATGGATGGTTTTCCTGAGGGATATGGCCCCAAACAAAACAGTAAACCAAGCTGGCCAAAACTCAGTAACACATCTGAGTCATCTCCAAATGTCTGTGCATTCTCTTTCTTGGAATAACTTTGGATTAACCCATTGGAGAACCTCCTCTGGTAGGATGGAAGCTCCCTGAAGGCAGGCACCAATAATCAGCCTTTGTTTTGTTTCTGCATCCCCAGCAGGAAGCACAATGCCCCCATTCCATTGGTGGAAGGAACTCCCTCCCAGTAAAGAGGTTCCAGAGTAGATCAAGAACTATCCTGGAAGTTTCGGTGTGAATGTGTGGGGCACTGAGGTGACTCTCCCTAAAGCAGGACCTGACTGCAGCCATCTCTCTATCCACCGAGCAGAGGCCCTTATTGTGTTTCTGGATTGGATTTCTCACTCCTCTGTAACGCACCTCCAAGGTTCCAGCCAGAATGCTGTTCAGCTGTTCACACATGTCTAACTCTTCATGACCCCATGCACCACACTGTCAATGGGGTTTTCTTAGCAAAGATTTTGGAGTGGTTGCCATTTCCTTCTCTAGTGGATAAAGGCAAACAGAGGTTAAATGACTTGCCCAGGCCACATTTGAACTTGGGTCTTCCTTACTCTTGACCCAACACTCTCTCCACTGAGCCATGCCGCTGCCTCTTAATGGCAGTCTCCAAATTCTCAAATTCTAAGGCTCACTCCTGCTTCAAAGGCTTCCTTCATAACATTCTCTTTATACTCAGCCTACCCCACCACACCCCACCTCCATCACTTCCTCCAGGAAGCCCTCCCTGACTGCCTCAGGTGTCACAAGCCTCTCCCTGCTGAACTCTCCCAGAAGCAGGGTACATCCAACCACCCATCAAATGAGTCTGTCCTTTCTTCCTGCAGGCACTGATTACCTTTTCTCCTCCATAAGACTGTGAGCTTCCCACAGGAAGGGAAGATGGATCCTGTTTCTCTCCTATTATAAAAACAAACTACTAATATTTCTACGGCACTTTGTTTGCAAGAACCCTGTGAGGTAGGTAGAGTGTAAGCATTATCTGTGTTACAGAGGAGAAAACCAGTTCAGAGACGCGTCCAAGGTCACACAGCTGTTGTCAGAAACAGGATAACTCCTTAAAATACATAGACTACTAATCTTCACTATTTTATATCATAACATTGTCTCTTTCAGCCCTGACAATCTACAAAGCACTTTTCACATTACTTACATAATTTCACATTAAATACATTATTGCATATGATCGCTGCTCAGAACCCTTCAGTGGGTCCCCTTTGCCTGCTAAATAAATTCCAAATTCCTGCCATTCAAGGCTCTTCACAATCTGAAGGCCTTTCTAGCCTTATCTCACCCAATTTCCTCTGCCTCTCACAGGACAGCCGGGCCAAGCCCCAGATAGACCCTGGTTCTGCTGGCTTACTCCCTTTGCTTACCTCACTCCTGATACTTGGAATCATCCCTCTCACTCTTTACAGACTTCCTAGAAAAGGTGGCATTTTCTCTGTGATCACTTCATTCCTTCTACCAGGAATCACGTCCTCTCTTTATAGACTTCCTAGAAGAGATGGCATTTTCTCCCTGATCCCTCCCCCTGGCCCCAGTAATTCTTTTCCCCTTTAAATTTTACACCACTCTTTGCTGGCACCTCTCTAATGTCCCTACCAAGTATTATGGGCATTTGGGTTTGTGTGTTAGCCTCCTGGTCCAGGGGTCCTTATCCTTGGACTCCTTTGTTTGACTGGTGAAGTTGAACTATCAATTTGTTAGGATCCTTCTCAGAATGTTTGTAGCCTACATTCATAACAGAAGAATAATTTTCAGTGAGATAGTGAAATAAAGATGTAATTTTTTTTTCCAATCCAAGTTCCTGGATCCCTGAAATCTATTCACTGAACCCAGGTGAAGAGCTTCTCTACCAGATAAAGCTTCATGAGGGCAGGACCTATGTATGCCTCACCTAAAAACTGGATTTCTCCTAGTATCTAACATACAGCTGTGTATGCATGAGGTGCTTAATACATGCCTGTGCATAGCACTGCCCAAGGCCACCCAGTGAACCAGTGGCAGGGCCAGTGCTAGGACCCAGGCCTCTGTGGCTTTG